AAATATAAATATAAATATAAATATAAATATAAATATAAATATAAATATAAATATAAATATAGATATAGACTGCCTTATACATATAAATGTCATATTGCTACAATAATATGACGCGAAATGGTGAAGACAACAGCTCAGTCGAACAGCAGAGACTCCTACTCCTACACTAGTATTGGTGAGAGAATGGAAGCTTGTACAGAGTTGTTGTGGAGATATGGTTGGAGTGAATTTGCGTGTTGATGGCAATGTTTCTCAGTTCTCACTGCGTGAGAGTGAGTCAAAGATGGTTGCCAAACGTAGCCACGGCTGTTGCTGTGAGTGGGAGTGACATGGCTATTTTGGCAGTTGAACAGGGTCGTTATGGGGGTCAGTTGACATAGCGAAGCGACCAGAAATTGCTAGAAATTCGAAAAAGAGCACGTCGTAGTGAAGCACTGGGAATTAGTATATGTATATATGATGCTGCCTCTTATGATATTATTTAGATATATAATTAGCATCTCTTGTATAGTAATATTTTCTATAGATTATAGTGAAAGTATCTTGACTTAAGCCAAGCTACTCCACACTTCGTCTTTGCCCGCTCGCACAGGGTATTACAAAAGGCAACAAAGTGCGGGTAGCGGGCAGCATAGCGTCAGTTGCAGCTATAAAAGTGCTTGAACAGTGGATGAGGGGCAACAGCAGGAGCAGGAGCTGGAGCAGGAGCAGCAGGAAGGGGTCAACACTTGCAGCTGGCAACAAATTTGCTGTCGCAGGCTAAATATATGTGCTATCCAGAGGCACAGGCAGCTTTAGGCATAGGCAACAAGCCAAGCCAGCCAGCCAGCCAGCCAGCCAGCCAGCTGGGGAGCCTAGCAACCAGTCAGGCAGCCAGACAGCACCCATGTGGCATGCAGTCGGCAAAAATGTAGACCAGAAAGTAGGAGAGCGTGTGTCAGAGTGAGACAGACAGAGGGAGACAGAGAGATTATTAATCAATGGTTGGGACTTTTTGAGAGCAGTCAACTAAAGAGATTTGTTAGGTTTGCCATAAGAGCCATAATCAAGCAGCGCTCGTTGCGAGGCAAACGCACTTGGTTTGGCTTTGCTACACGTTGCCAATTTAAGTGGCTAAACGCTGCCTGCCCAGACTCCAGCTTGAGCTCCGCTTTGGAGCTTACAGTTTGTCATGTGCTGCTGCCGCCGTTGGCTAAATTGAATGCGAAATTAACTGCCAAGGCACTGGCAGAGCCAACACATAGCAGCGCTGCTTTGCAATTGCTTGTGCATAATTGAAAACTGCTTAAAGTTTTGCTAATTAAGTTGCATTTCAACACAAAACGCACAACAAACTAATTTTCACATCAACTTTTGACGTCAAGCAGCATGAAGAATTCAATTTAAGTGGATGGGTGTGTGAGTGTGTGTGTGAGTGTGTGTGTGAGTGTGGGTGTATGTTAACGGCTGCTATGAATTTTATCAGCCTATGCATAGTCTGTGCTTTAACTCGCTCACTCTCCCCCTCTCTCTCTCTCTCACTCTCTCTCTGTGTATGTGTGTGTGTGTGTGTAATGGCAGCTGTTGTCTGCTTTTGACAGCTGCCTCTGATCGTTTTGGCCATGCTTCGCCCCGCCAGCTGTCAGGCGTGTCAAAACAATTGTCATTCATTCCCAGCTTGTCTGTGGCTCATTCACATCTCCACTTCTATTTCCAGTTACCGCTTCAGCTCCAGTTCGCCCACACACACACACACATACACATACATGTATATTGTATATATGGCTTGCAATTATGGCCCAGTGACATGTGTTAACAGCACAGTCAACCAGTTAGCCAGCCAGCCAGCCAGCCAGCCAGCCAGCCAGTCATTCAACTGGGGACGCATTGCAATGCGCCGCTCTCAACATTTCCGCACAGTTATTTAGCCCATTTCCTGTTGCCTTGGCTTTCAGGCCGACGCCGACGCCGGCGCCGGCGCTACACATTTTGCCACGTTGCGTATACGACGCATTTTACCGCGTCTGAAATCAATATCAATGGCTCTGCGCAAATTCTGTTAGCTTCGGTTGGGGCTTGCTCCCTCCCCTGTTGTCGCCTTGATTACTCCTGTCATATTATTTTCACACTTGAAATGCTCCATATCGATCTGTAGCGTTGCTCATTATCAGTGCTGACCATTGTGTGTGTGGGCGAGCGAATGCGTGTGTGTGTGTGGACGAGCGAATGCGTGTGTGTGTGTGGCACTTGGCTGTCACTTTACATGCTTCGGTTGGGCCGTGTGGCTTTTCTAATATCCTAGCATCCGCTGCTGCTGTCATTGCACTCCCTAGCTCTTAGAAGCCATGAAGCAATTGACGTATTTGTATACCCTGTACTTTTTAGGTGAAAGACTCAAGAACTGAGGGGAACAAATTTCAGTCTATTTATATTTAAATTTTACAAAAAACACTAAAGTTTTCATTTCTTACATTTCAGTCCAATTTAGTAAACTTTTCCTGCACTAAATCGATAATTATGGAGCTAGAATCTATAGTTATCGAAAATAATAGCCGTTTGGAATTTTTACAGTTGGTAGATTAAAGAAACCTTCTCTTGACTTTTGCAATATTTTATACATGAAAAAAAAAATAATAATAAAAGAGTCAACCAAAATTCGTTTTAGAGACTTCTTTAATATTAAACTAGAATTTGTATATGTCATTAGACAGGATTATCAACTATATACTCTATACTATTTAATAGCTTAAAAAGATTAAGATTAGTGCAAATTAATATAAGTAATAAATAATCATTATAAATTGCTTTTTATCAATTTACAAACTAGATTTCATTTATGTTATTAGTCAAGTTTTTCAAGAACTGAATTTTTTATCAAATGAAAATCCCTATGAATGCTTTACTGGGTATCTGTTAGTCTAGCTGCTCACACGCTTGCTTGTTTCAATTCCCAGCCAACTACCGCTCCCAGTCTTCGAGCGTTGCTGTCTGACCAACACATGGCGTGGGTAATTGATGCTCTATCGAGTTAGTGTGTGTGTGTGTGCTGCTATATAAGTGTATGTATGCGTGTGTGTGTGTTGATAGTGTGTGAAAAGTGTCAGGCAAGTGGTTATCAATTTTCGCCTGGCGCACATGTTGGCCATAATTTGCAAGTGTGCGCGCTTTTTATGAGCCATCGTTTGGCGTCGGCTTGGCTCAAGCGAACTCTGACTTGCCATAATAAACATAAATCCGACCAAGTCCTAGTAAACAACGACTCAACATTTAACACATCAATTTTTACAGACATAAAAAACATAAACGAAAACACAAACACACAAATACATACACATATATATATATACATATGTTAATATACAATGAAAATGCAGTTTCCACTTAAAATATTACTAACAATGGCTGGCGCACTCATTGCATTGGTAAGACTGTCTCACTGACTTCTCCTATCTGCTGTTCTCTCTCTCTCTCTTTCTCTTTCTTTCTCTCATTCTTATACACAGTATCTCTGCCCGCCCGCAGAATAGTTTGCCCAGCAGCTGGGCCAGATCCATTAACATGCCCCTAATGGACTCCGTAGGGGAATTGCAGTCATCCGATGGCTTTACAGCTGCTACGACTCCTGCTGCAGAGGCTGCCACTTTACCCATGGATCACATTCGGCGACGCAGAGAGATGATGTCGTGCCAAATCGCTCTAGCCGATGTCAACGTTTTGCATATGCCCTGCGACATGGATCTACCGAATCTGCCCAAATATATCGAGACATTGCCCAATCAATGCATTTGCGCCTACAACACGCGCTTTCAATCCGAGCAGGATTATCGCAACTTTAAAATCTTACAGCTCGAGAGTTTCTTCTTTGGCCAATATGCGGAACGCTTCAAGCGCTTCGAACTGGATCCCCATCAATTCGACTACCGAGGCTGAACCATGCCCCCCAAATTAACAACACAAAAACTGTTAATCGTGGTCAAGTGTAAAGGATCATAATGTGATTAAATATTGATTTACTGTAGATCGGAAGTAGCTCAAATTTCAAATTCTTGTGTGCAGTGTATCGAAATTTTATACATATTGAGTATAATAAATGATTTTTTTCTTTTAAATATGCAAAAGAAAGTTTTGCTTTTAGTTGTGGTCTATTTATTTAAATAACAAAAAAAAAAAAAAATAATAATAATAATAATAATAATATATATATATATGTATAGAATATTAAAATATATTATAAAAATATATATGTATATAAAAATATATATATAAAAATTTTATTCACATAAAAACAATATACAAATTTTAATAATAAAATTATTTATAGGAAATTATTAAAAATATAGAAATGAACATTACTTTTTCATTCAATTTAAATTAAATTAACAAAAGAAAAAACAATGGCTTAAATTCCAAATGATTTGATAAATGTATTTACCATTAAAATTTGTATTTTATTTTGTTATTTTTACTTAGCAAAAACATTCCAAAAGAAAATAGAATATACTATTCCAAAGCTGGGATGATTAGCAGGAGGTTGGCTGCGCCAAAATCATATGAATTCCATGGAAAATACATTAAGATTTATTCACTGAAGCAGCGATTCAATTGGGGCTGCTTTAGATTAGTTCCGAAAATACATTTAAATTTGAGTTTTCCAGAGAATCCAAAAGCAAAGATGAGCTTTATAATATTCTCATGTTTATCAATAAATTGACAATCATTTTTTCAAGCTGTCTTAAAATCAATTTAAATTGTCTGCCGGCAGCTTAAATTTTAATCACTTCACAAAAGATTGCATTTGGCTTAGCATCCGAGCTCTGGGCTTCGGATTCTTTGGCACCTCAACGTTGTTGATGGACAATAATCAATCAAATTTTGTATTGGGCCAAATTCCATTTAGCCAAACAGCGCGAGGGTCGACTGAGGAGCGTGGCAGTGCAAATAAGGTGTTACGCTTAAGTGATTCGGTGAGCAAGTGCCGACCGATTTTATCTCTGCCAATTCGCATAACATTTGTGTAATTTGTAATTTCGTGGATCATCAATCAGCGCCTCGTCTGTCGGCCAGCTGTCGTAGCATTGATTTATCGATGAGAGCTGTCCAAATATATGTATATACCTCAATATATATATACATACATACTTATATTTGTGGGTAACTAGAAACCAGGCACTTATTCAATCTAATTAGAGGCATTTGCTGCCACGCCCCATTGCAGCATGCACACGTTTTGCAGTTGAGGCCAGGCGAGCCATGAAAAATGTTGCCTTTATGGCGTCTTCCTGCATCCGGTTTCCGGCCAAAAGCCAAGTCGCTCTCTCCCCCTCTCTCCCTCTCTTTCTCTCTCTCCTTATCTCTTCTTTTATCTTTTATTTATCTTGCTCTGTGTTTTGGCTTTGTCGCTGGCAACATAAATTACATCGGGTCTAGTCTTTGCGCTCTGGTCGCCTGCCAACTTTCGCCTTGTCCGGCGCATATTTAATTGTGCATTACGATTATTTTTACATAACTATAAAACTGATTTATGCATACCGAGCTCTACATTTTCATTACAGATTTTCTCTACTTTTTTTTTTTCATTAAAATTCCTGGCAAAAAAAAAATGCGTACATCAAATAAGTATTTCAATTTCAGTTTTAGCAAAGCTAAATGAAGGGCTTTAAAGCCCCATTGATCAACCTTACAAATACCCTAGCAAATTTTGCGTATTATCTATATTGAGCTTAACTAAATTTTTTATTTTTCATATATTTTCTAGAAATTTCGCATATTTTTAATAAATATTGTAATCAAATCAAGTGCCTTGGCTTCTTGATGCCAAGGCCAATAAAAACAACTTTCGCCGGCATCAAAACAAATAAAAAATTATGCCTATTTTTTATCGCGCAAAAAGAAAGTAAAGAAAATACTTGTGAAGAACTTTGATAAATTTTATGAGGTTTCCTCCCATTGGGCATACCTTCAAACTAATTTGGTACAGGGCATAATGATTGTCTCTCTAGGTATTCCTTTTTTTTTTTTTTTTTTTTTTTTTTTTTTTTTGGCCCCAGACTTGAGGCTGCTGGCAACTTTTCCACATGAACAGAGTGAAAAGTTGAAATTGAGTTTTGTTAATGCAGAAACGCACACACGCACACAAGCATATATGTATACGCACACGCACACATGCTGGACGATAACACAAAACAGAAGAAGAGGAAGAAGCAGCAGCAACAGCACCGATGTCGTAAACCGAGCAAACGCCAAGACAGACGCCAGGCAACATCTCCCAGTGGCAAAGTTTTTTGGCGCAGTCAACAACAACAACAAAAAGGAGCTCTGGGCCCTAGCCCAGGGATTTGAGCGAGCTCGAGGCGAATGTGAGGGGAAGAGGGCCGACTCGAGCGAGCAACAGAAAATGCCGCATGGCTGTTGACGACGCAAAATCCACAGGCGCAAAGCAAAGAGGTGCGACAGACAGGCATATACACTCTGAATAGAGCAGATACCAGAGAGCGAGAGCGAGACAGAGTGTGAGAGTGAGAGGCATTTAAAATTTTAATGCCTTTGCAATAAAATTATTTACTCAGCTCCGGTTCGTTGACTGCTGGCCAGCAGCTAGCTCCTGCTGCTTCTCCTGCTGCTTCTCCTGCTGCTTCTCCTGCTGCCTCTCCTGCTGCTGCTGGCCAAGTTAAAAGCACTGTGCACTATGAGCTTCAAAGCCAGAGATGCGGGCCAAAAATTGTGAAGATGCTGCCTGCGACTGTTGCTGCTACTCCTGCTACGCTTTAATTAATATTAAATTACAAATTACAAATCAACTGCAGCTGTAGCAAAGACAGAAGAAAGAACACACACACACACACACACACACAAAGAGAATTTATTTGTGGCAGCAACATTTGTGAATGCTTCATTCATTTCAGTTACCAAAAAATAATTTTGTATCATTAAAATTTTAAGGGAATTTATGCGCCTTGCCTTGGCTCTATATCTCCCTGTTGCTTGCTCTGCCTCCGCCACGTCCCTTGCCGTGCGTTCGCCTCTCGGACACGTCAATTTCTATGCAAAGCTCGTTTGTTTGCCTTTTATTTTAGTTGTGCTTCCTTTCTTTCGTTATTCTTTTTCGTTTTTTTTTTTTTTGTATTTTTATTTTCGCTCCCCCTCTGTGGAATGTAGGCAGCCTGGTCAGCTATAGCTACAGCTACAGCAACACAGCTTCGGCTCCAACTCCAGCTCCAGCTACCAATGCCAATGCCTGCTCGAGCTTCTCTTTTTGGATTTTATTTATTTATTTCCGGAAACGTGCTCTGGAGGATTTTCTAAGCATACTTGAGCGCCAGCAACAAACTCCCAATGGCGCTGCGCTTAGTTAGCATACACACAAATACGCACACACACACATACACACATACGCACACGCACAGTGAGCGAGCGAGACAGACAGCTTGAGAGTGAGGAAACGTAGCAACAATCAGCCGCGTCCGCTTTTCATGTAGTTCATTAAGTTTTTCGCGTGCTCATCCATTTGCCTGTTCAATGCGCGTGTTTTTGGCTCGTAAATACCCTGTATTTGGGCGTGTGTGTGGCATATTAACTATTAGGTAAGCTAATTTGTGATATTAAATCGTGCTCTAAGTACTTTTGATGTTCTTTATGATCTGTTATACCCTGTAAAGCAGTTAATAAGGCTATATTGAGCCTAAATATTAATTTAAATAAATTCATAAAGTTGAAGCAAATGTAGAGAATATAAAGCAGATAAAAATATATACATATATATCATTTATTAATTAATTTAAATTAATTATTATATTAGCTTCTTTATACACCCTATACATTTATTCGAAATTTTATTTAATTCAACCCAAAATATATTTAAGAGCTTTGCTAGAAATTCAATTTGATTTGTAATCCAACGAATTTCAGTCAATATATCTACAATATATTTGCGTATCTGCACAATCGGCTCTACAAATTCGTTTATTCCTTTTCTAAATTAATATAAAGCTCAGCGCTTAAGTCGTACAAATGGCAGCAGCAGCAGCAGCAGGAGCAGCAACAATTTCCATTTACTTGTCTCCTCCAAAGCCAAAGAGTCCCTGTAGACCATGTTTACCACGCCTCCCGCCCCCACATCCTATGCCCCACGCGCCGAACTTTCACCTCCGCCCACTAGTCGCTCCGCCCACTACTTGCTCTCTGGCTGCTCTCCTCCTACACCTCCCCTGGCTCACCTCTTCGCCACGTTCTTTGCGTGTGTCCCAGGCGTCAATTGCCAGGCTGGTTTTCTATGCTCTTTGGCCCCTGGTCGAAATTCGTGAACATTGACCGAGTCGCCACCGCCGACGCCTAATGAAAAAACAATAAAAATTTTGCGCTTTTCTGCTTTCCCAAGTGGCTGTGAAATTTTGATGACTTTGTCAGCTAACCGGGAAAATTGCCAAAAAAAACAAAATAAATAAAGTGAAAGAAAGAAAAACTTATAGCCCAAATGGACACGCAGCTTTTTAATGCCTCTTCTGCTTCTGCTTCCACTTCTGATTCTTCTTCTTCTTCTTCATCTTGCGCTGCGCCCTCTAAAAAGATGCCTTCGAGTGCTATCTGCTGCTGCTGCTGCTGCTCTTGAGTTTAGTTTACAATAATTAAGCTCACAGTTCTTGAACAATGCCCATGAAATGCTTGAAACATTTTAGAGATGTTTCTAATTATATGCTTTGAGCCCGTTATCACGAATTGCGCAATTAAACAGTTAGCTGCAGGCATTGCGAAGTCATTTATGCTAAGGTTATATAATGTTGTTAAAGCAATAAGGATTACAAGTTCTGATAAAAGTATATAAGGTTATTATTGTATTGTTATTATATGTAGACATCAATGTTGTACAAATATTGATTCACTTTTCACTCAATTCAACAGCTCACGAGATGGGGAGAGTAGCATATCACTCCGCTGCGTGAG